GTAAGGCGTGAGAGCCTCTGCGTGGAAAGCCGAACCGAACCACCATTCCCTCAGGGCGGGCCGCGTCTTTAAGGAGCGCATGAACATCAGGATTACCAGGATGAATCTCCACACCCCTAAGGCACGCGTATCTGCGCCCTCCAAGAGATACGGGACCATGGTGTTGATCAGCTCGATCGTTGCATCATGGATATCCCTCGCGTTGGCCATGGCGTCAGAATCGGAGCGGTCCTCGTCTGTCACAAGGTCGGGGGCAAATTTCGCCATCATCGGGCTCCATCTATTATCAGCAAGAGGAATTCCAAGTAGCAACTGGCAGAGCAAGAGACCGAGTTGGGCGCTGCAAGTGGTCAGTTAGAGACGAGTGTAACGCGATTCCGTGGGGCCAGCACACACCTTGGACAAAGTCTGGATGTCTTGGCGGGTCCACCGACCTTTATTTTCTCCAGTGCTGTATAGACAGTCTGGAGATGATTATTCCTGCTCCCCTCATAGCCGTTTGCCTTACGGGTCTCAGGCTCCAGAGAGGCAAGAATCAGGTGGGCAACAGCGGTAAGGAAGTGGTCCTGGTCGGTCTGGGGGAAGCTGACCGGTTTCTCAGCTGCCTCCTTATTCCGACCAACAATCGTTTTGATAACGGTCAGCACGGACTTCCGCGCGGCGTAAAACGGGGTTTTGACGACGAGAGAGTTGGTGTAGTAGAGAAACCTGGACACATCGGCGTCGAAACTTGTGTCAGGCGAGGAGGAACGGGGCTGGACCAAAATGGCCAGGTGATGGTAGTGGCGGCCGACCGTCGGGTCATCGTTCCGGGCCTGAGTGTACTCCTCTCGTGCAGTATTCCTCCAGCGCTCCCTCGCGTTTATGTCCCTCTCTTCAACAGCCATTCTAAGCAACAATTATCAGTCTCTGTTGGCACACCTGTCCATCGTATAGTGGACGCAGCAGGGGTGGCGCTTTTACTTACCCGTATCGTGCTAAATCTCCTTTGCATTCGACTCAGGTAAGACGGAAGCTCGGGATGGTCTCGCCCACCAAAGATATTAAACTATACGCCAGTATGATGAACTGGTCCATTGTATCCTGAGATTCTGGAAGTCGTGTGCGCAAGACCTCGAGAAAGGAATGTATGCCGTGCGTCCACATTCTTGCCGGCATGTTATGCTTTGTCGCGAGCCTACGGAGCGCTGGCGGTGCCTAGGGGTGCTGCGAGGCCAACAAAAAGTCGTGATGTTCGTGTAAAGCTGTGCGGTGCTGCGCAATGAGAGCTGCATACTGCTCGCCTCTGAGACTACGGATCCATCGACCGGAGACCAGCACCCAATATTCCGTGCCAACCTTTTTGTACCGGCTCTGATCACTCAGCGGCCTGATTTCGACATAGATTGGCAATTCGATTGCGGGCGTCTTCTCAGACTCGGACTTTGTCAGGCCGCACAAGCGAAAGCAGAGGAAGACAAGAAGGGCTCGAACCATGTTCCAGAGGCGATGGCAGCCCGCGTGGATGAATGGCCAGATGGCCAAGAGGCCCAGAGCTGGCTCTTTTGCTCTGCTTTTGACGGTTTCGAGATCGCGCAATAACTGGTCGACCAAGTCGTATCCAATGTTGAGGTAGTATTTCCCGTCTATCACCTTCTTGCGAGCCTCTTCGCCCATTTGGCCGCATTGACGGCGGCTAGCTGCTCATAGTCAGGCCATCCAAGTTTCTTGGCACGCAACTCCAGAGCCACCTGGAATCCATGCAGATAGTCCTTGGGGTCTTCAACTTGCGGAGCCGTCTTTTAAGACACGGGCAAGTCCTTGGTTGCTTCGAGGGTCCAAGGCTTCTTATCTCCCTTTGTGGCGCCCTTTTGAGCCTTGACGTACCAAAGACGAACAGTTTGCGCTGGTTCCATATTGCCCTCTTAAGCAGTATCAACATGGCCTCCGGGATCGTCAATAGGTAGCTGGGAATGTCGGGCGGACCGTCTGTCCAGGGCATCTGGCCGTCGTCGACTTCTATGCATTTCTTTTCTACCATCCCCAAGCCGGCATAGATACCCTTCACTTCGGCCACCAATTGATCGTGGGTAATTGGACGGGTCTCAGGCTGCTTGATAATCTTTCAGGGTCATGCACTGCGTCTTGATTGTCGGTCTTGACGACCTCGACCTCCGTGGCGACGGCATTGGCAGGATCTTATCTCTCGCCAGTGACAGTTGCCGTATCGTCATCGCTGTCGTTCACTTTGGTGTTCTCGTGGCTCTCAATATCAACGGCGTCGCCCTTGTCGGGCCGGGGAGACTGCGATGATGCACCATCAAGCTCTGTCACAGCCAGCACCTCCGAAGTGTCGTGAGACACGGAGTCGGTCATAGGGCGGCTATTGTGTTGCTCCCTGCCAGTCCAGTGCCAGTCGGGTTGATGGTGTCAGTCCTGATGTACTCGTCAGGAGCATCTTCTGATGCGCCGGAAGGGTCGACCCGCGACGGGACCTCGGACTTATCGGGTCCACCACCCATGATGGAGCCTCGAATAAAAAGAGTCTTCCAGAAGAGCGGCAGAGCTGTTGTAACTGATATAAACTCAAAGGAGAAATCTCGGCTTGTGAATAGTGAGAGTCGTCGTGAGAAAGCACGAGAGGTGTGGAAATCCGAGCAAGAAAGAGGGAATGCACGCGGACCGCGGCAGAGGTTTATATTGGTTAGAGAAGACTGGAAAATCGGTATTCAGGGGCCTACACAGTATGCTAAATAGGCGATCTTTTGTGGCGCTGAATATATTGGTCGCATTATGTTTTGGTTGCCTTCTGGATGCCTTCTTCGCGGCCACCAGAAACACAGGCATACCCCCGCCCCCCCTGTTCTTCTTCACCCTTTTTTTCAACCCCCTTTGACAGTATGGGAAGCCCGAAGACTGGGAGCCTGGGGGCAAAGTCCGAGTGCTGTCAGGTATGATTCGGTAGAGCGTGTTTCAATTCATCAAATCACTTAGAATCACAACGGTCAAAGGCCAAAAGAATCTCCAAGAAATGCTATTTGCTCGTGCAAGCAGCCCACCCACAAGTAACTGTCAATCAGCACTGACATACACTGGCCAAAAGGAACCAGACTGTACATTCGAAGGCAGGCGGACCGCGACGTAAAGTGTGTTCCTGTGCCCTCTGAAGGATCTGAGATGGCTCACGAGGTAAACGGTCACTCCTACGGAGACAGGGAAGCAACCGATGTCTGGTGCTTTGTACTCTGTTTCCCTCTTTCGGGGCACTGCCTGGCCAAACATACACCAGGAGATTGAATTATTCGCGCCAGTGGAAGGCTTGTGCAGGCCCTGATCCTACAAGGCGAGTCTTCACCAAGCCATCCGTGTCACACAGCCTTCTTTCTTGCCGTGGGTTCCACCATATAACCTGTTGTCTGCCTCATGCTACGGTAAGTTGTCCCCCTTGCCTAAAAGTGGCTAAAAGTGCCTATGTACGGCCCCGAAGCTTTCTCGGCCGCTATAGACAAAGGGACGCTTCCTCCGCGACAGAACAAGTAGGTGGAGTGATAGATAGGTACTAAGTCAGGGGCATGAAGCTTACGACAAAAATGTACGTCACTTTTGAGAGGTCGCATAGAATGATTTGGATTAATTGGACGATAGGGGGAAGCAGGAAGCAACAAGGCTGCGTGCAAGGCAAAACGCCTGTAATTGACCTGGTGTTGGAGCCCGACTGCCCTCATGACATTACCCATAAACGGAGAGGCCCTGACATTGTTGGACAATCCACCTTCGTAACTCTGTGCTGCATAATTGGTTAGCCATACCTATCAAGAAATCAAGACTAGAACTCACTAGAAATTCCAATGATGCCGTAAAAATACGTTCTTGCACGTTCTGAGATTTCTTTTGCTTCTGCAGCAACATCTGACCTCCATATTGATTCAAGAATTCTCGTAATGTTCTGTTCCGCACAGCGTTCGAGTCTGACGCGAAATGAGAGGCTAGTAGTAGCTATAATAGGAGGGTCCTGACTGTGACCAGGACGTTGAGAGCGCTTCAAGAAGCTCAAGGACGGCACCATGAACCTCTGGACAGTGCGATTTAGCTGAGCGTTGTCAAAGTTTCACGTCTCTTGATGGCAGATTCAAAGCGGATCAATGTAAACAAGTTTTATTAAAACTTGGTGAGCTAGTACCCATGAAAGTACAAATGAATGTGTTCTATATACTGAAAGTGCTTGGTAGTGATCAGTGAGGTCGTCGTGAGATCAGTGGTGATCACGTCGGGTCAGTACTGACTACAACGGATCAGCTATGATCACGAATCCTCGGCGCTGATCCGGCTTGGTGAAAGACGGCGTTTAGAAATGACTGTAAAAGCTTCCTTGCAAGAGTGTTATGGGGAATCCTCTCACGGCGATACTCGGTTCCAATCCCATCCCCCTCTGGTCCTACGCGCTAGGATGGTTTCGTAATCGTAGTCTTGGTTGCCGTGGAGTAGAGTATATCATGGTCCTACGCGCTAGGATGGTTTCGTAATC